GGTGCTCCCGGTATTCGCTAGTGGTGTTAGCTGGATTGGGTCTCTATTGGAGTGGGGATGCTGTCGGTGTCTCTTCAGCTGTGGGGTGGGTCGTCCTCCCAATGAGTTTGGAGTTTGGATTTCGTCCTTCGATAGGCGGTTCGACAGTTTCAGGGGCAATTTCTTGGGTTTTGATCTCTTCATTTGGGTCGATCGGTTGACCTCTGGTTCGGCTCGGTTGTTTCGCTGTGGAAGGGCTCGTTTAATTTATTTTGTTGTTAGTTTTTGTTGTTCTATGTGATTTTTGGTTTTGTTGTTTGCTTAGGTCTCGTTTTTTTGGTTCGGGTTGTTGACCCGGTCCTGTGCGCCCGAGTGTGAGCGTATTATTCTGTTGGGATCGTACACTCGGGTATTATCTGCTAGGATCTTTTTAGTAGTTTTTCTAGTTATGGTTTGTGTTTGTCGTTTTGGTCGTGTCCCGAGTCTTAATTGGTTTCTAGCGTTGCTAGTGTCGGATTTAGGCGATCTTCTAACCTGTCCTCTCAGTTTATTCAGTTGTTGGTTGTCTTATTCAACTAGGAGTTGTATATTTGCACATTTGTGCGTTTTGATTATAAAAATCTCTACCGTTTCGGAAAAAAAGAAATAAAAAAAGAGAAGTAAATTTCACAATAGTGTGTATACATATGCACTTTAAATATACAGTAATATTTATACGGATTATAGAAGTGTCACCGCATTAACAATCTAAAAGTTTCACAAATTTTTACATGACATCATGCGTATAAATAAATCTGTCATACGTGTACGAAATTATAGAATCGTCACCGACTCCCATTTAAATGTTCACAAATATACCAAAGTGCCACTGCGCTTAGGCTGTTCATCTGACGGTTAGGTCGATCCGCCCAATCAGATGAAATGTCAAAACCGATAATGATGAACCTCGGGTTAGTTGGCCTTCGAGATTGATTCTAACTAAGGGGAATATTAGACATGAAGTCCTCACTTGGGGGGAGGGGGGTTGGGGAGCGTTTTGCGCGTCTCGGACGACCGACTGACTCCTTCAGAGGTGGTAAGCTTGACGATCAAATTGGAAATTAGTGGACTATAAGTACAAAAGTAAAAATAATATTAAACAATGATTAATGGTGAACTTATTGACAATATGAATTTAGTAAAACTTATATAAAAAATTAAAACTTGTATAAAATATTTAATATTACTGTTGGTGAGTTTGTTGACCGACGATCTTAGGGTCTCCTTTTCTTTGTCGTCTGTTGTAAGTCATACAGTGGAACCATACAGCTCGAAGAAGCATTAATAATGTCAATTATGAAACTATTTTGAGACAAACATTGGGATTTTGCAAATGTAACACCTAACAATAAAAAAAGGGTCAATTTAATAAGCACACAATAATAATGAATATTATTCTAATCACAAACATGTATAGGAAAAAATACAATATCACGAAAAATGATATACCAGGCTTTTGTACGATAGAAGCTGAAGTATTAGTAATTGTAGGTGTTCGCTAGGAATGTGTTACTGTATAAACGTCAGATAACGTACTTCCAATCAGTGATTGAGAAAATAATTATTACCACTGTTGATAATTGAATTAGAAGAATCGACAGAATGGTAAACCTTGAGTATGACCTAGTCTCCGAGATCGATTCTGACAAATGAAATATTAGACATAAAGTCCTCACTTGTGGGGGTGTGTTGCGCGTCTCGATTGACCAACTGGATTCTTTAGAGTGGCAATTTTGATGATGAAAATCGAAAATAGTGGACTATTAGTACAAAAATTAAAATAAAAAATATTAAACAATGGTTAATGGTGAACTTAGTGACAATTAAATTTAATAAAAGTTGTATAAAAAAATTAAAAATTATGAAAGTAATAGTTGTATAAAAGATTTAAAATTACCGTTAGTAAGTTTGTTAACCGACGATCTCGGAGTCTCATTTTATTTGTCATCCGTTGTAAGGTAATACATAGGAAACAAGCCGCTCCAAGAAGCATTAGTAACGTCAATTATGGAACTATTTTGAGGAAAACGTTAAAAATTTGGGAATGCAACACATAAGAGCACTTACAATGTTTTGAGTTCATTCACAAAAATATACATGTCACATAGGAAATAGACTCAGTCAAGAAAAATATGTACTCTAATGCAAGTGCAAGTGGACCGAGTCCTACTTATGTGGCGGCAAGAAAAGAGACCCGGCCTAGCCTTAAGTTTATTTTAGACTCAAGTAGAGACCTGTCTCTTTGCATTTGAGTTAAATTTGATACTTTTATATATTTTTGTCAATGTCATTCAAGACTCAAGTCTATTTACATGCCACTTAAGCACAATTAGACCCAATTTTATTAGGTTGCTTAACCTAAAACGCTTTAATTGGCCGCGATGTCTCCGTTAAAAGAAGATGGATAAAGTCGTTTGCCAAGAATGCACAAAACTCACGCTTACTGCGCACAATACCTCCACCACCCCGCGCACATTAGCCCGCACCCATCTCCAATTAAACCCGAAACCAAATAAATCACACATCGCTCCTCCTCTTCCCGGCGATTTTCCCATAACCAAATCAACAAAACACAGGCTACCCAAACCCTTCTTCTTCTTTCTTCTTCTTCTCTCTCTTTCTTTCTCTCTCTCTTATCTCCAAATATTTTCTCTCCAAACACCCATTTTGCGCATGAAAGGTAAGTTATGGCGATGGGGACAGGGAGATCGTCCAAGGCGCTTCACAATTTTACGATGCCCTTCGAGCTCCGGTGGGGGAACCAAAAACAGATGCGCTGCACCAAGGTCAACTCCAGCGGCCACAACCCCCCTCCCCGCCGATTTTCGCCGCACGATTCGCATCGCCGCCGCCGCCGCGAGGATTCCGTCCAACACCCCCGCGTCGGCTCGGGGGAGGAAAGGGGAAGAGAGAGTGGCTCGCCGTCCGATTTTGCGCGTGGATCTTACAAATCGAGTCGCTCTCCGCCGCACCTGGCGCCTGGTGGCGACAGGAGATTCAGCGACGGCGGTGACGATGGGATCTCAGCCGTGAGGGAGAAACTGATGTTCGATCTCCAGACCGCCGCGGAGAGGATGAAGGACGCTGTTTTCAGGGATGGTTTTGTGAAAGGCGAAGCCTCCTCCTCTCCTCCGCCGCCGCCGCCGCTTCCGGCGACCCCAATGGAAGTTGAGATTCACAGGCCGTGGAATCTGAGAACGAGGCGAGCCGCTTGCAAAACGCCAGCGGCCACGTCCGACGCATCTCTGAACGCCGCCGCCACCACCGCTTCCGGCGAAACGAAAGAAGGTCCGGCCGGAGAGAAAGATTTGGTAGCTGCGCTGAAACTAAGGTCAGGATCTTCCGAGATGAAGGTGGGCGAGTCACCGGCGACGGCCGACAGGTTTCTGAGGATGAGGAGCGGCGGCCCGTCGGCGATCGGCAAGAAGGGGGATCGCCGGAGGTTTGCGGTGGCGCTGTCGAAAGCAGAAATCGAAGAGGATTTCTACGGGATAGTGGGTCACCGGCCGGCGCGGAGGCCCAAAAAGAGGGCAAGAATTGTTCAGAGACAATTGGATGTAAGTAATATTCACATTAAATTTGCGATTTATTGCATCAATACCTCATTATTTATTTATTTACTGGGATTGATTTTTGGGCAGACATTGTTTCCTGGGCTGTGGTTGAAAGAGGTTACTGCCGATATGTACAAAATCGATGAAGCTGCTCCATGACAAAAAATATCAAAAAATGGTGAAATTTGCGGGCCTTCTCGATTTAAAGGGGTCTCTTATTCTTTATCACAAAAGGTGGTTAGTTTAAAATGTATCATTAGACTTTGGATTGTTTAGATTAGAAAGAAATTATGGAATGCTGATTTTTATGTTGTTTTCCAGAATAAGTGCTCGATTCTTGTTTTTTATCGTAGAAAGTATTTCAACGAAATTATTCGATTTTAAATGTAGGTTTCGTGGAGGTTTGTTTGCCTCTTCCTTGTATGCAAAATGCAATAATAATTTTATAAATGCATTTTTTTCATTCTGTATGTAGTTCTCCTCCAATTAGGCTGACCAACACATTCCTTCGTAAATATATATCTATATATAAAATTGTATTGAAAAATATCATACTTAAAAAATAGTATAAATAGAGGTATGATATTTGAAAGTATAAATACATATTTTTGTTTGTTGAGTATCTTTCTTTTTCGAAAAGATAGGAATCACTTATATTCACAACATAAAACCAAGGCTAGAGAAAAACTATTCAGCTGAATAAAACAGCCAACGGCCAAATAAGCTGGATAGCTAACCCTAGTGGGGAGGACTACACGTACAAGTCGACGACAGCCTAGAGTCAACTACAACACAACACAACTAAAAAACATTCCCAACAGGAGAATAAACAAAAGCTCCCAATGGAAATAAGCAAAAGCTCCCAACAGGAGCACCAAAAACACTTCCAACGGGAGAGAAAAAAATAAAACACATAAACAATAACAACACAACACAAAAAACTCTAACAACCTAAAACAAAACCAATCCAACCCTTCCCACATCCGATAAAAAACCAAGAAGCTATCAACAACCCCATACCCGACTCGAACCACGCCTCATGAAGCCGCTCCAGAAACTGCCTAGTGCCTAACTAGATCTGCACCCCAGAAACACGACTCGCAGTCAGACGATCAGCTACTGCCCTTAGCAGGAGGACAACCCGGCCTCGCCCCCCTACCACACCGGCACTCCAATCCCTTTCAACACCACTAGCCGAAGTCGAAGGCACCGGTCAGCCAATAATCCCGAGCACCAAAGGAAAGAAAGGTTCAGATGACAAAAAACCCGGTGAATCCGTCGCCCCGACCACTCGACTCCATCAGACAGTCCGAGCCGCAGCCGTCCCTAGACCTCACGGCCGCTTCACCTCCGCAACACCAGAAGGTCGAGTTCCACTGTAGAACGACGCCCGATCTCAGCAAATCTCGTCTGCAACTCCCGTCACCTCCAACATCACAAGGGCGAAGACAACTGAAAGCCAGGAAGAGGCCGCACCGGCCAAAGACAACCGTCGACGAGCCGACTGGTTCGCCGCTAGGGAAGGCAGGCGCCCTCGCTATAGAAGCCGGACGAAGGAGAATATGAGGCTATGGTTATAAAGCGATTTGGGGATTTTTCGTCGGTAGAGAGAGAAGAATCAATAATAATAATAAAAAAAAGATTATAGAGAAGTTGTTTGTTGAGTATGATGAATGAATGGTGTGCATTTTTTAACTATATTGTAGTTTGGAGAAGGTCCTTAATCTAGACAGTTCTCTCTAGTAGAGATTTTTTCTATCTTGATTAGAGTATTTCACATTTCCAGTGATTGGAAAAATCAATCTGTAATCCTTACAGCCTCATTCTCATATCTTTGCGTCTTCATCTAAATCGCCTCATGTTTTAGTCTACTAGATCTATACTTCTTCTCTACTTTTTTGCGTCTTCTTCTTTCCCGTTAATAGTTCGCCGTTTATTACTTTCTATTTTCCAGTTAGGGTTTCTACAGTTTTCAATCTGCTCTTTTTGCGATTAGGGTGGGGGCTTAGGGTTTTTGGGACAAATCGAAGTGATAAATCTATTATGTGTGTCTTTTGTGGCTGTGGACCTACAGACTTTTTCGAGATCTACAGATTCCAACATTCTAGTAAGTTTCTGTGAAGAGGAAGAAATTGAGCAAGATCTAATCGACAAAATGAATAGATTCGCTTTGACAGATAAGGAACGAGTGGGCATTACTTTATTGGCGGCCGATATTGAACCAGGGATGCAAGAATGCGAGCTTAGCCTTATTGGAAAGATTGTTGGAGAAAAGAAAGTTAGTGTGGGTGGGCTTAAAACAACTATGGTAGTGGCGTGGAGAACAAACAGACCTTTATCTATAAGGGTTTTGGGACATAACCTCTATCAGTTCATATTCCAATCAACTGAAGATAAACTTAGGGTATTGAAGCGTAAAACTTGGTCGTTCAATGGGCAATACATCATCCTCAAAGCATGGAAGAAAGGGGAGACAGAGTTTAAAGATGAAGAGCTAAGTGTGGAATTGTGGGTGCAAATCCACAAGTTGCCATTACATTGGATATCCATGGAGACAGGATTGAAGGTAGGCAAATATTTGGGAAGGTCAAAGATGTGGTGGTGCCAGGAGCTGGAAGTATTAATGGGAGGGTGATTAAAATTTTAGTGGATGTTAGTGTGATAGAGCCTCTGCCCAGGGGAATCAATATTAAATTTGGGGCAGAAGAGCATTGGATTGAATTCAGGTACGAAAATTTATTAACATTCTGCTTTTACTGCGGGAGAATTGGGCACCATGAGAGATTGTATGAGTACAAGAAAGATGATCTCCAGAGGAATGTGGTCAAATCAGGGCAGTTTGGGGATTGGTTAAGAGGTTCAATTGGGGACATGTGGGAGGGTAGAGAGAGAAAATCATTGAGTACCCAAAGTCCTAATCCTAATTCTGAGTCTAGTAAAGGTGTGAGTGGGGAGGGAGAAAAAAGCAAGTCCTAGTGGCACAATGGGGGGTAAGGAGTCTAGAGGTAGCAAGTCCCCTATACAAGAAGATGTAAATGCAGTAGATGAGGATATTGTCATGTCAGTAGAATTAGTTAGGGATGGGCAGAGTCAGGGACAGGAAGGGAAGGAGAGTGATGTGGAAGGGAATCAGGGAGTTGAGATAGTTGCTATGGTAAGTGAGGATATAGGTAAAAATGTGATAGAAGATTATAATCTGATAGATGTAACTGTCCAGCAAGAGGAGCATAAGAGTGCTAAAAATAAAAATCAGAGAATTTTCATTAGGATAGCTAGGAGTAAGGGTGTGTCTGGTAGTGAAAAAGGGATGGGAGGGGATAGCAGTGGGCTTGCTGTTAAGAGAGGGGATGTAGGATATAAAAGGAAATCTAGTGGGGAAGATTCAGGTCAGGATATTCACAATGATATGGGGTCAAAAAAACAGAGAGTGGGATCTAATGAGAACAATAAAATGGTGGGGGAGACCAGCCAAAAATGGTCCCACATTTCAAAATGAGGGTACTGGTGTGGAATTGTAGAGGTCTGGGAGGACCCTCTACAATTCCCCAGTTGAAGGATAAAATGAGAGCCTACCTCCCTACTTTTACATTTGTGTCTGAAACAAAAAAGAAGAGGGCTTTTGTGCAAACTGTCTGTAAAAACTTAGGTGTAGGAGATAAGTGGGTATATGTTAATCCAGAAGGTCAGAGGGGTGGGCTTTTGTTATGTTGGTCTGATAAGGTTAATGTGATTAATATTATTGCCAGTAGCTTTTGTTTTGAAGTTTGTTTTAGGATGAGGGGGGGATAACACTTCTATGTGGGCTGTGTTTATTTATGTTAGTGTAGATAGCATTGTTAGACAGGATCAGTGGGAATATTTAATTAAAAATCAAAATAAATGGGGGGACATGTGTTTTGTGGGAGGGGATTTTAATGCTATATTACATAATGAGGAAAAGAGAGGGGGAGTTAGAAGGGCAGAGTCTAGTTTTCAGTCATTCACAGATTTTGTGCAGAGGTTTGGGGTTGTAGAATGTCCTATATCAGGACATCCATATACATGGTCTAATAACAGAAAAGGCTCTGAGTTTGTTGAAGCTAGAATTGATAGGATTTTTATGTCTCCTAATTGGATCATTAACTTCCCTAATACCAAAGTTACTCACATTCCTCTGGTATCATCCGATCACTGTATGTTAATGATGGATAGTGAGGGTAATGATAGTAAGGGGAAGAAGAGGTTCTACTTTGATAGCAGATGGGTGAAGAGAGAAGGTTTCTTAGATTGTGTTGAAAAAGGGTGGGGTAGAACTGCTTTTAGACAAGGGATGTACAAATTTCAGCAAAAACTTAAAAATGTTAGAGGGGAATTAATGGCTTGGGTTGTTCAGCAGAAAACTAATTCAGCTAAGGTGATTAGAGAGTGTAATGAGAAGTTGGAGTGATGGGGAAACAGGGGGGTTCTAGAGACTGGGAGGAGTGGTTTGAATATAAAAAAAGAGTGCAGAAAGCATATACAGAGGAAGAGATGTATTGGAAGCAGAAGGCTAGGATTAGATGGCTGAGGGAGGGGGATAAAAATACAAAGTTTTTCCAGGCATGTGTGAGGCAAAGAAGGGTAGGGAACTGTTTAGATAACCTGGAAAAAGTAAATGGGGGCAGGTGTGAAAATGAAGAAGAAGTCTTACAAGAAGTGCTGGGATTTTTTGAGAGGTTGTTTACATCATCAAACCCAAGTGTGGATAATGAATTTTTTATGGGTATTCCTCAATCAATTACAAGAGAAATGAATCAGAAACTTACTAGAATGGTGGATGAAGGTGAAATCAAGAAAGCACTATGGGACATGGATCAACACAAGGCACCAGGTATGGATGGTTTCACTCCTTTTTTTTTTCAGTCATCTTGGGATATCATAAAGCATGATCTTTGTCTAGCTGTAACCAACTTTCTCGAATATGGTTGTATGCCTAAAGATACTAATAAGACATCCATTACATTAATTCCCAAGGTCAAATACCCCAAAAAAGTTAGTGAATTCAAACCTTTAAGTTTATGTTCCATTACTTACAGAATCATAGCAAAAGTCTTAGCTAATAGAATCAAGGGGGCCCTTCATGTGTGCATTTCTCAGTCTCAATCTGCCTTTATTCCTGGTAGACAGATATTGGATAATGTCATTATTGCAAATGAATGTATCCATTATCTGAATGGCAGGAAAAAAGGTAGAAAAAGATATATGGCCTTGAAACTTGATATGGAAAAAGCTTATGACCGGGTTGAGTGAGGATTTCTTATTAGGATTTGTAAACAAATGGATTTCTGTGAAAAGTTTTTATTTTGGATTTGGTCCTGTGTCTCTACTTCTTCTTTTGCTGTAAATTTCAATGGTCAAGCTAGGGGTCATGTGGTGCCAACTAGAGGGTTGAGACAAGGGGATCCCTTGTCCCCTTATCTCTTTATCATTGTCGCTGAAGCCTTGTCTAATGGTATCAATAAAACCATCAAATCAAAAGCTTTACAAGGTCTTAAAATTAGTAAAACAACCCCTATGATCTCTCACTTATTTTTTGCCGATGATTCTCTTCTTTTGTGTCAAGCTGATTATGGTAATGCCTCTGCTCTTTTGTCTGTAATCAATTCCTATTGTAGGGTTTCTGGTCAAGCTGTTAATCTTCATAAATCCAGTGTTTTTTTCTCTGCTAATACCCCTGAGGCCGTTAGGAATCAGATTTGTAATATGTATCATGGAATAAATGTGGCTACAAAATCTAAATATTTGGGCTTACCATTAGGAATAGGGAGAAATAAAAAAGAGATTTTTACTTTTGTTAAAGAATGTGTGATAGCCAAGGTGACCAGCTGGAAAAACAGATTCCTAAGTGAAGCTGGGAAGGAGATTATGATCAAAACAGTTTTAAATGCACTTCCTATTTATGTCATGTCTGTTTTCAGAATTCCAGTGGCTATTTGCGAGGAGATTTGTAGAGTTATAGCTAAATTCTGGTGGAGGGGGAGAGTGGGAATAATATTCACTGGGCAAACTGGGAAAAACTGGCTAAACCTAAAGGGGAGGGACGATTAGGCTTTAGACAGTGTACTGATTTGAATGAGGCATTAATCATGAAGCAGTTGTGGAGAGTCTTAACTAAGCCTAATCTTTTGATGAGCAAATTGGTGAAAGGTAAGTATTTCCACAACCAGAATATTATGAATATAAAAAAAAAAGAATAGTGACTCATGGATGTGGAAATGCTGGTTAGAAGCTAGGAAGTCTTTGAAGCTAGGGATGAGATATCAAGTGGGGAATGGACTTGCCATAAACTTCTGGGATTCCCCTTGGATCCCAGATGTGCCTCAATTTACACCCATGTGCTGTTTTTCAGATGACAGGAGAAAGTTGAAAAGAGTTGCAGATTTAATGTTACATGATGGCAAGCATTGGGATACGGAGTTGATATTGCAAACTTTCCAGCCACATGAGGCAGAGCAAATACTGAAGATGCATATAAGTCAGAGGGGCATGAAGGACAAACTGGTGTGGCATACAGATAAAAAGGGAGTGTTTACAGTCAAGAATGCATATTTTGTTATTAGGCAAGCAAAGGTGGCAACTATGGGGAGAATTGAGTCATGTGGGGGTTATGAGAGAACACAACACATGTGGAAAATCACTTGAAAATTGCCATAAAACATAAGATAAAGAATTTTATATGGAGGTGTTGGTACAATTGGATAGGTACAAAAATGAGGCTAAAGGAGAAGGGTTTAGATATGGATACAATATGTAGTTGGTGTGGAGACGGCCAAGAAGATATAGAGCATTTATTTTTTCAGTGTATCAGAGCCCAAACTGTTTGGAAACTAGCAGGGTTACAATGGGATAGAGTGAGTAGTGAACAAATAGAATTCAAAAATTGGTGATATGATTTATGCTCCTTGAAACACAATGACTACAACAAAAACAGAATCTCTTTATCTACATACTTGTTGTGGTGGTTGTGGAAAACAAGGAACCACTGGATATTTGAACAGAAACAAATGTCTGAGATACAGGTTGCAGCAACGGCTAGAGGAGAATGGTTGGAATTTAATAGCTGTTGTCAAGACAGTATGTTGGATCAAAGCCAAGGAGTAGGGGTACAACCATATGTTCCCAGTGCTAATGGTTCTGATTCATCTGACAGTGAGCTGAGAGGGGTGGCATGGAAGGATAATGATGTGCAGGTCAAATGGCTATGGTTAGAGGGATTAAAGCAGTCTATATCAGTGGAAAAAGAGCTGTTGGAACTCAGGGAATGGCTCATACATGGCATACAGCAAGGATGGTCAAAGGTGGAGGTATTCATTAAGAGCAAAGGACTAGCACAAAAATTAAACATGCAGACTCCTATGGAATGTCAAATGCAAGTAATAGTTGAAGATGTATTTGATGTTTGTTCTTTCCTGAGAGCTTGTAATTTTAAGCAAATAGAGTAGAGTGTGAGTTTGTGTTTGTTGTTTGTTAGGGTTGTGTATGTTATTTTGTTTTTAACAGCCGAGATGGCTTTGATAGGTGGGGTCTTGCTTCCCCCGGTAAACTGGGTATGTAATCCGTTGATTATCGAACATTGTATTTTCTTGAGGTGTTATGAAATTTATTGTTTGTTGTGGAAAAAAAAAAAAGAGTATGATGAATGAATTCTTCAAACAATTAAATCATCTTACACAATTTTTATTTTTTTTAGCATGGGTGTATTGTTGGTCAACCCTAAAACTTAATACCATTCTTACAACTTCAAATAAGTACACATTTTTCAAATATGTATGTGAGAATTAATCCTATTCATTAATTTTGTTTGGATCAATAGCTCATATTAATCAATTAAAATCACATTAATTATATAATAAAAATAATTATTATTTTATTTAAATTAATTATATAATAAAACTAATTATATAGTAAATTAATAATAAAATATATGTTTCGGCAGCTGGACGGCAGCCAATCGCCGGCGGCCAGTCGGCCGCCAACCCTCTGGAGCTTCGTAATCTTATGTGGCTTGGATGAAAATTACTTTTTTTTTATACCAAATAGTTTAGGTTTGGATTGCCGTATATACACATCTAATATATTTAAACTATTTCAAATAATTTATTTTATACCAAATAGTTTAGGTTTGGATTGCCATATATACAATACACATCTAATATATTTAAAATATTGCAAATTAATCTTTTTTATACCAAATAGTTTAAGTTCGGATTGCTATATATACTCATCTAATATATTTAAACTATTTCAAATAATGGAATAGTTATCTTCTTTCTATAATGTGCATATTACCTTACTTTTCAAATTTTATACTTTGTCCATATTATTCTCTTATGTGTTTTAAATAAAAATATTATAAATAAAACTAATGATATATGTAAATTAGTTTTCAAAATGTAAAATAATATTGTTAATTTACTTAGTTCTTTATTGTAAAATGTTATATATTATTCCTTATTTATTTTTTTCAACTTAAACAAAATATATAAACATTTTTGTCTTTCATTTTTTTATTTTATATTTGATTGTTTTATCAAACACCCTTGTAGTACATGGGTATTGTACTAGTATAGAGATGCTTACCATGAACTCTCTCAATTTTATTAAACTAATATTCAATTTTGTGCACATGCACACATGTTTGAATTATTATAAAGTATATATATGTATATAATATTAAAATTATAAGTTAGATAATAATAAAAAAATCATAGTAAAAATAAACATTATAAAAGTATTCAACGTCATCACTATATTGATTGCGTCATATGGAATGGAAAATGTAATTTTTATAAATTTGAGAGATCCTGACCTATTTAATTCTCTTATTAGTACTATTATTATTATTTATAAATTTTAAGAGGTTTTTTATACCACTAAATGTTGAGATCTGTGAGGATCTCGTTATGTACAAATCACGAATTCAATAGTAAACGTAAACCTATGCGCAGCGGATCTAAAGGTTTGACGTAGAAAACTTACGGCTTAAAATTTATGGCGATCTGGTTGATCTTCCGGATGGCCGTACACAGCACACGAACGAATCAGATCAGACGAACGAATGTCTCGGGCTTGCGTGAATCGGGTCGTGTGGGATCGGATTGCCAGATCGGGTCAAGGGGCTCGTCACACGTCCTCGCCGGTTCGGGTCGCGAGGAGTTGTCGGGACCGCGTCGCGAGCTGGGCAGTCGTGTCGCGTCGCGGGTCGCACGTCCTTGCCGGTCATCGCGGATCGCCGGCGTCTCGTCGGCTGGTCGCAGTCGGCTCCAGCTGGTCGGACGGTGATCGGTAGTCGACGGTTCTCGGGCTCGGGCTCGTGGATTGTCGATTGCTGTAGAAGATTAACTGGTCTCGATAACCTATGAATCTTCTATGTATTACTCAATACACCCCTCTTCAACTTGTACCAGTGGAGAAACAAGAAGAAGATAAAGCTCGAATGAGAACTGAGAGAGAGAGGGGGGGGGGACCGCGCGTCTCGTGTATATAATGAGATGTGTTCTCTTCTCATGAGCTTAATGATGTATATATAGAGCTACAGTAAGGACCCTTAGGAGATTAGGAATATGACTCCTTAATTAATTAGACTAACTGTGGGCCAAGCTCACTCCTCTAATTAATTAAATAATATTAATGGGCCACCAACATTATATTATTGCACTCCATTTTCCTAGCCCAAATTACATTTGAGACTCCAATAATAATTACTCGATTTACCTCCCACGTTTAATATATAATGTCAATTAATTAATCCGATTACTGACAATCAAGAATTAATTAATTTATTATTATTTCAACAAAGCTAGCACTCGTTCATCACATTCTTATTATGCCGGAATTTAATCCACCTGCAGGGTTTAGCATAATAATCCTTCATGAACTCACTACGGGGACATCATCAAACTAACGCACACGGTGACCGTAAATATCCTAACAGCACATCCTATATATAATAATATTACCTAAAATAGTAGTAATATTGATCCAGAGAACTAAATCTCACCCAAGTGAATCAAAGTAATATATACTATATATATCTGTCTGTTTAATATCTCACGGGTTAAGAGAACGCTGTAATTAACCGAGGCTTAGTTTATTTACGACGATCAGTGTAAAATGAACTTCTCCTCTCTGGGATCTTGTTCAATACATAAATGTACTAGTACAACTAATCAGTCAAGACAAACTGTACAGTTGACACTACAACCGTTCGGATGGGGTGTTCATGTCCATCTAGGTTGTGAACAACTATTCTTGTTCGCAAGTAACTGCTAGAGTGATCTTCGGTTCGCCCGATGACGACCCACTCTATCTAAGTGTAGAACAACGGAACATAGAACTTGTTTAATCTAACATGATTCTCATTCATAAAGGGCAAATGTAAATAACATGCAAAGCCAAGCTTTCAGTATATAACACTAACAATCTCCCACTTATACTTAAAGCTTTCGCTTTCACAGTATAGTCCTATCAATCCGTTATTCTAAAAGACCTATGTCAATCCTATTGCCATGCTCATGACTCCCATTCCTTCCACGTGTTTGACGAAGACCTTCCCCGGCAAACTCTTCGTGAAAGGATCAGCTAGATTGTCCTCTGATACAATCTTGGCAACATCAACTTCTTCTCTACCAACGATATCTCGAATCAGATGGTACTTGCGCTCTATGTGTTTGCTTGCTCTGTGGGCTCGAGGTTCTTTTGAGTTCGCTACTGCTCCACTGTTATCACAGTTCACGGTGATACCACGTGACAAACTCGGTATAACCTCTAAGTCCACTAAGAAGTTCTTAAGCCACACTGCCTCTTTCGCTGCCTCTAAGGATGCTATGTACTCGGCTTCCATGGTGGAGTCTGCCACGCATTTCTGCTTAGCACTCCACCATGAAATGACTCCACTTCCCAAGGTAAACACATAACCTGAGGTTGACTTACTTTCATCCTTATCTGACTGAATATCGGAATCACTGTAACCCAGAGGTAACAAGCTGTTTGCCCATTAAACTAACATGTACTCCTTAGTCCTTCTCAAGTACTTGAGTATATGCTTCACCATAGACCAATGTTCCCATCTTGGATTACTTTGATATCTAGCTACCATGCCAACGGCGTAGCTAATATCGGCCTAGTACACAGCATCGCATACATAAGACTTCCTACTGCCGAAGCATAAGGAGCTGTCTTCATCTCCTCTATCTCCTTAGACGTCTTCGGAGACATCACCTTAGATAGAGGTATTCCATGTCTGAAAGGTAACATACCTTTCTTGGAATCCTGCATGCTGAACTTGGCCAAGACAGTATTTGTCACGACCGCTTTTCTACTACTGAATATTCTCATATTTTGAAATACAAGTCACATTTTTCTCAAAATAACTTATTAAAATTCAGATTTATTTGTCAAAAAATGCGGATAATATAATTCATTCATATCAAAAGGATCCAGAAGCAGAAACAGTTTATATCTGATATCATGTCCGAGGTATGTAAACAGTTTATCCGCTTAGTGTGGATTAGGTATCCCACATTGGTTGTTAAGGAGAACGAAGCATGCCTTATAAGTGGGTGTGAATACCTTAACCTGTAGGACGCGTTTTGGTAAGCTAGCTCCCAAAGGCAAAACCGTGAGGGTGAGAGTACCCAAAGCGGACAATATTCTACAGCGGGTGAGCTGGGCTGTTACAGATGGTATCAGAGCCAATATCCAAACTGGTGTGCCAGTGAGGACGCTGGGTCTCCTAGGGGATTGGATTAGATATCCTACATCGGTTGTTAAGAAGAACAAAGCATGCCTTATAAGTGGGTGTGCATACCTTAACCTGTAGGACGCGTTTTGGTGAGCTAGCTCCCAAAGGAAAAACCATGAGGGTGAGAGTACTCAAAGCAGACAATATTCTACAACGGGTGAGCTGGGTTGTTACAGTATCTATGTATGAAGACTGGGAAAAGCACAACATTCTCTTCTTACGGTCTCTAATGAGCCTAATACCAAGAATGTGTCTTGCTTCTCCTAAGTCCTTCATATCAAACTGCTTAGACAACCACAACTTACGTCTGATAACTCCTTCTTACTGTTTCTAATAAGCAGTATGTTATCTACGTAAAGCATAAGAAACACCACCACGCTCCCACTGATTTTCTTGTAAACGCAGTGCTCATCTGGACATTGAGTGAACCCGTACGACTGGATCACCTCGTCAAAACGGATGTTCCAGGATCTCGAAGCTTGCTTCAGTCCATAAATAGACCGATTAAGCTTACACACTAAATGCTCAGACATTCAGCAATGAATTCCTCTGGTTGCTGCATATAGATGTCT